TCAGATCGATGTAGAATTGATGAATGTGGCATGTGAGAGAACTTTAGAGATGTTTTGAGATAGGAGGTTTAAAATATTTACAACAAGATACACTAGAACGGTTGCCTTTGGTCGATGGCCAAGATGTGTTCCTTATTCTGCCACCAGGGTCAAGAAAATCTTGAATCACATGGCCCCAGAACATCATATAAAGAATGAAGTCACCAAAGAGAGGGGCAGACCTAAACATATTTCAAGCCTGTTGCTGTCTAATTTGATGTTCCACTTCGAATTCAGTATTAACATGTCAATTACATATCAGAAGTTTGTTTGCAATATTGGTCAGGCCTGCGACTAAAAAACAATACTCTGGTTTCTTCAAAACTATACCCAAAATACTGTTACCTTAATATACCAATGCATAATATCCAACAAAACACTCCTGTTAAGTCTCAACTAATACCAACAGAAGTCAGTTGGAAAATTACAGAAACAAAGAAGTAAGTAGGTCAAAGGTGCCCGCCACGATAGAGAACCAAGTCAGTTTTCACAATTTTATCATTAGCTTACCGCTCTGAAAACCAGATGTGTAGAAGTAAACCTGTTGTAATTAATCACTTGTGAAAAAGTTCAACTTTGTATTGTGCTATTGATGATGTTTAACTGTGTAAATTGCCAAAACAGGGAGCAAAATTTAGATTTTTAACCAGGGATCCGTTTAATGGTTTGAAGCAGAGTTCCAGCTCTCATCAAGTGTTATTTGCGATGTGTTGAAGTTAATATTATTTGAAAAATCACAGATTTTACTAGTACCATGCAAAAAACTGATAACATGGAAAAATTCAAACTTGTACATGTAGATTTCTTCCACTCAGCTAAGCAAAATTCCAGTGCATGAATACCCAGACCACAATTACTACGATTATCAGTTGAGTAAGGCACAACGGAAGTTTGGTAACAACGTCAACAGCCGTGCATCGTCTGTTGCTCTGCTGACAATTTTGGGCACTAAATTGCTGCCAATGATGTCAAAGGCCAAAACGTTGCCACTGGAAACGGAGCCAGTTGCCCATGACAACCAACTGGCGCCCATTTTATGAACCTCATATTATCGCAGAAATTTTTGCTACACCTATACGCCTTAATCACTGATCACTTTGTACTTCTTCTCTTGAGGGTACATAACTGTATATCTTGTCGGCTGGGTATAATGACAACAACACAATTTTCTTGATAAAACCTGGTGACCAAGTTTTCATCATGCCTTACTCAACTACTAATTGTAGTAGGTCTTGTCGCGCAGCCTTTATGTTTTCAACTGACAATGTCAATTAAAATAGTTGTGTTATAAGCTTGAAGTAAAGTCAGTCAGTGTCTGCCTTTCTTCGCCAGTGGGCAGTAATGTGATTACTACCAAGCTAACTGGCAAAAATTAAAAGGTTTTGACTATTGTTAACACAATCAGAACTGCATGTATTTCAAAAATATCATCTCACCTGGTTTATGCCATACATACATGTAGCCAATTGATCACCATCTCCTTAAAAAACCAATTGGATTAATCAGTCACAATAATAAACTAAAGGTTAACCTTCTAATATTGATGTTTGGAAAAATGGCTACTTTGTATATTAAATTATTTCTAAATTTACGAGTGTCTTAATGTATTCCAAATTTCACAATCTGAGTAATCATGTGATTATCTGTTAATAATACACTTGAAAAAGAAAACTATTTAAGGTCTTGGCTGTACACTAATTGTTTACATATAGCGTGGGGGGTGGGGAGAAAAGGAATTGCCTGCAGTCAATCCTAAAGATTTTAGCGAACTCTGTTCACCCAGGAACAGGGAGCAATAGTACAATTTGATTGGTTAGTAACCTGTCAATCAAAAAGTGACATCAGAAGTTTGACATTCATGCATAATCCGACATCTGGAACACAACAAGATCAAAATACATATGGCCGAGTCTGGGGAAATTGTTCTGTTCAGGAAACATTGAAAGACCTTTCAAAAAACAGCAAACACATTGATCCAAAACCGGAGCATGAAGCTGCCATTTGAGTCTAGTCTGTGGACAGGTAATGTCCTTGCAGTCCACCTATGAAATACTCATGGGAATCTGCATGGTTACCGCTGTTATCTACATGTCACTTCACAGCGTTTGACACCTCTTTTTAAAATTTGCCACGTGCTTACACTTTGTATCGGCTAATTTCTATTGCAAGATATGTTTCAAAGTCTCCAAGTATTGGCTTTCGAGGAAAAAACTTTGACATCTTTCGTGAACATGTATTGTGCACATTGATTGTGCTGCCTGGCTGGTTGATTCAGTAGGACTGTCAAGTGCAGTACATTGCATCTTATCATGAGATCACGGATATCATATCTTTGTCCACTTTTTCTTCAGAGACTGACGTAGCTTTACTTCAAGAAAGCTATAAATTTGTACAGAGATGTCCATTTGTTGCATCAATTGATCAAGCTTATGTATCTCCATTTTCCAAACTTCACTTTTTTAAATGAACAGTGACAGAGTTGGCAAAAAGCTAAAAAATCCAGTGAAATAAGCAAGGAAGCCAAGAGCAACAACAACAAAAAAATACTACACCCCTTCGATTCTATAGGATTCAAGAACACCAATTGGTTCTTCAAAGGCCCTCAGATAGAAACAGTTTGAGGAAGCCTGCAGAAAAAGTG